CACATTTAACAGTATTTTATCGCTGGCCCTGCCCTCCGTCCTAGATTTGTTTCCATCTACCTTCAGTACCACCTTAGGATCCACCGAAACAGATTTCTGAAACACCTGCCCCATTCTCCCACTGCCACCTAGGAAGCTCTGTCTCCCCGCTCACCCCCTGCCGGGCCAAGCCTTCAGACTCTGCTCAACCGCCACCTTCTGCAGCCTTTTGGGATCCCCTCCAATTAAATGCAATCTGCCCCTTCCCTCAATTACCATAATTTGCACGACTCACTTTAATGACCTTTTACCTTGTTACAAGTGGTTCCATTAAAATTATTTCAGTATTATTTGTAGCTTTTTTATAAGCTCTTGAAGACAAGAACCACCTCTCATAGGCACATCCTCTAATTTAGCAACAATAGAGTCTTGCATTTAGTGGGGCACTCATGTATCTGACAAACGGAATTCAGAAGTAGAAGACATCCGGTTACACTACAAAGCAACTCAAACTTGGCTTTGCCCTCAAGTAAAGATTAAAGTTACTAAACACTGACCAATCCGAGAGTGAACTAGTTGCTAACAGTGGTATTCAATTTAGTTGCACATTAGAATCACCTGGGAAGCTTTTAAAATCCAGATGTCCAGGCCCAGCCTGGTTATATCAGAATCTCCGGGGTGGGGCCCGGGCATGTGTGTATTTTTGCACTCAGGGGTGTTGGCCATAAGCAGCCAGGGCTGAAAATTTCTTGTTTCCAGAAGCACCTGCTCCTTGTAAGGACTTGGCCTTTTGGGGAAATCACAGGCCTAACCAAGACTGGGCCCTCACCCGAGTCCCCCCATCCAGGCCCCACCTCCATAATGTAGCAACTGAACAGAGAAGGAGGCATGTAAATACATATCCTTCTAATCTACAAGCCAGAACGAAATAAAAATTAGATTGGGACTACTTTCATCTAAAAAATTATGGGGTGCCCGGCTGGCTCAGTCGAGCATGCAACTCTTGATCTCGGGGTTTTGGTTTAAACCCCACATTGGGTGTAGAGAATCTTTTTTACCATAGCACATACCCTCCCCAATGTCCATCACCCAGCCACCCCATCCCTCCC